CCAGGTCGTGAAGTCCTCCATCTTTCTTAAAATTATTTTGGCTAGTCTAGGTCCTTTGTATTTCCAAACAAATTTTAGAATAATCTTTTCACTATCTCCAAAAAAAAAAAAAAGCCTTCTAGGATTTTATTAGCTATTGCCTTGAATTTTTGTTAGAAGTATTGCTAAGGTTTTTATCCTTTTTGATGCTGTAGTGAATGGAATTTTTTTATTACTTAATTCTCAGATTGTTCAGTGCTAGAATCTGTATAAAGATAATTTTTCTTTATCTTGTATCCTGTGACCTTGCTAAACTCATTTCTTAATTCAAGAATTTTTAGATGTGTTCCTTGGGATTTCCTACATACAAGAGCATATCATCTGTGAATAAAGACAATGTTGCTGTTTCCCTTTCAAGCTGGACGCCCTAATATATTCTTTTTGCTGTATCTCAATATCTAGAACTTTCCAGATAATGTTGAGTAGCCTTGTTCTTGGTCTTGGAAATGTCTTCTGCCTTTTACCATTAAACGTGATGTGAGCAGTGGGTTTTCATGGGTGCCCTTTTTCAGGTTGAGGACGTTGCCTTCTGTTTCTGCTTTGTTGAGAGGTTTTCTCAACAAAGTGGGTGTTTGATTTTGTGAAATATTTTAAGGTTAACTTAGGGTTTTTTTATCCTTTTATTCTGCTAGCATGGTATATAACAATAATTCACTTTTGAATGTCAAATGAACTATAATTCATGTTCATATGTATAATCCTGGTCACCACTTCGTCATGGTGTCCCATCCATTTTACATGTTCCTCAATTCTGTTTGTTAATATTTTTCAAGGATATTTTTGTCTGTATCATAAGGGTGTTGTTCTGTCATTTTCTTGTGAAAAGGTGGGATGAGGAATGAAAAACTGACAGTAAAAGGGCATCAGAAAACTTTCTGGGGAGATGGTAATGTTCAGTATGGATATATGGGTGTGTACATTTCTCAAAAATCTTAAGTCTAAGGACTGGAGTAAACATTTCTCCAAAGAAGACATACGAATGGCCAATAATCACATGAAAATATGTTCAGCATCACTTATTAGGAAATGCAAACCATAACTATAGTGAGATACCACCTCCTACCCATTAGGATGCCTACTATCAAAAAACCAAAAATGCCAAGTGCTGGGAAGATGTGGAGAAAAGGGAACCCTGATTCACTGTTGGTGGGATCGTAAATGGACGCAGCCACGATGGAAAATGGTATGTAGGGTCCTCAAAAAGTTAAAATTAGAGCTGCCATGTGATCCAGCAGTTCCACTCCTAGGAACACA